TAGCGTAAATCGATGCTAATGCTGTTCACCGCGGGATTGGCTGGGTCAGACTCGATTATTGATAGAACGCCACCATATAGCGGGAATAGTGCGGGGCTTCAACAGCACACCAACCAACCATCCAATTGAATTAATTTTACGAATTATATTTCAGCACCCAAATATTTCAACAAGTGACCTTTTACCTGCAAACAGTCCATAAGACACAATCACCCCGTCTACGGACTTGGCGAAGAAAACAGCCATCATGCCCACCAGAAAGTAACTAATGCAATTGAAACGTATTCGAAAACTACATTATATAAAGTTCCATATCATGTTGTATTCCTCAAACGCTCCTAATTCTCGCACTTAGATTCAAGATTATTACACTTGACTCCAATAACTTATAGCAAGTATATAAGTAAGTTCGACACAACAACTTAGACACTAAATAGTAGTACATTCTAACAACTAATTACTGTTTGACCACAATATGATGACATACTTCAGTAAAAAATCTGAATGTTAACAGAGTCGACAATTTGTGATTAGTCAATAAATATCAGATGCAGAGGACGAGTGATTTAAGGGGATTTTTCACATGTTTGAAAGTCAAAGAAAGAGATTTGCAATATTCCTGAAACAAACATGATCATTCGTATTACTGATACCTGTGACGGGTAAGTCTGATCTATCCGATTGAAGGTTTTCAACAAGGACTTTCGCTGTACAGATCTGACTTGTTGCCATCTATGCCTCATTGAGCCTTTAAAGCCCTTTGCAAAATATGTTACGATCATAAAAATTAAAAGCGACACCACCACCACCGACTGAACTGTTTATGGAATAGCAGCACTTCTAAACGTGTGAATGATGTTTAGAAATACTAATGTTATGTGCAAGTAACGAAACATTACAGAAACAACCTGTTACCACATTCATGGAACACCACCTTCCATCGTTGGAGACAAACCTCGAGGTCGTATTATGTCATAACAGTTTTCCAAATTCACAATTGGATTGGCATTTTGCCATGTCATCACTGCAAGAGGTTGGACAAATTGAAACTTGATAGCACCGACTGTATTTTCCACATTGAGTGAGAAAGTGAGTTAAAATTTATCGTCACATCGGCAATGTTTCAGCCATATCGTGACGAGAACAATTAATTTTATACATAGTAATTAATGATAAATTGTAAAAACAATACTGTCAACGAAGGACAGTAGAATAACTAGATTATCACAGATTCGAAATTAAAACTAGTAACTTAATCTAAAACAGTTTAGCTATAGATGACAATACCAGGTAAAAACAGGCTATATACTGCCAACAACTGAAAGTAGATCACCATACTAACGACCATGGGGACTTACAGTACATTTGCTTCCTGCATGGACCCGAGCTGGATTTACACCATCCCGTCAGCTATTAGCAAGTTTAGATAATCTAGCAACAAATTACACGAACATATATACTATGATTGAAAAAAAAGAGAGTTTAAATTTACTTTGAATGTTTTGGGACTTATGTATCCTCTCAGGAGGACAATTTATAGTACTTTAACCCCCCTTGAGGATACAGCCACTAACAATCTGAGTTATTAATTCCAACTTCCAATCATTAAATATTTATCTATTTACAAATCAGTTAACAAATCTAATTCTTTTAAAAATGCAAAAATTAAATGAGAACTTATATTATTAAAAAATTCCTTCATAGCTCGTGATTTGAAATAGATATCCCTTGTGGTGAAATATTCAACACAGTCAAGCAGGACATGCTTGACCGTGATTCTTTCATCACAAGGGATACAAAACGGAGGATCCTCACCTTTCAATAGTTACTCATGAGTATATCTTGTGTGGCCAATACGACATCGTCGTATGATGACCTCTTCAAATCTGGACTGGCAACCCAGGATTCATGTAACTGATAGTTGGTATTATTTCATGTAATTTATTAATACCTACTTGGGTGTCCCGCTTCATTTGCATCAGATCACGGATGTAAGTTCTAATGCTAGCTTTGTAATCAGAAGTGGTGTCACAGATTTGTTGAGTGCTGATTTGGCAGCAAAATCGGCCATTGTGTTCCTAGAAATGCCAACGTGGCTCTGTAACCAACAGAGGACGATGTCGTAGTAGCAAGATCATTATGTAATTCAATAATTTCGATTAAAAGTGGATGTTTGCAAGAAAGATTTTTGGTAGCCTGAAGGCAAGAAAGAGAATCGGAGTGGATTATGTATTGTTTATATTTAGGGTGTTTATTAATATATTTTATGGCCGTTAATATTGCGTTAGCTTCTGCTGTGAAAATAGAGCTGTTATCAGGAAATCTATTGATTTAGAACCAATGACAGTGGCACAAGCTACTGCTCCACCATCCTTGGACCCATCTGTAAATAAGGATTTGTATGTATTATATGTCTTCCTTAATTGACTAAAGTATTGTTTATACTGTAATTCATTAGTTTCTGATTTTTCAAACGTGGTTAATGTTAGGTCAACATACGGCCTAACCAATTGCCAAGTAGGAGAAGAAAGCAAACGGGAAGGAGATATATTTTCTAGCTCAATGCCAGCAGTAGAAAGACAAGGTTTGACTCGTAATCCAAGAAGTTTAACACGAGAAGACTTTTCATTGTATAGATCCTCATATAGAGGATTGAAAACACAGTTAAATGCAGAATTTGACTCATTCGAATATTGTTTTGTTGTATACTGCAATGATAATTTTATACGACGTTGGTTAAGGGATGGCTCATCGGCCTCGACGTTGAGACTGTCAACAGGAGAAGTTCTAAAGGACCCAAGACATAGTCTTAGACCCTTGGTGGTGGACAAAATCTAATAGTTTTAGGTTGCTTTTGCAGGCTCCACCATAAACGATGGAACCATAATCAAGTCTGGAACGGACCAGTGATCGATATAGATGTAGGAGGTAGCTTGATCCCCTCCCCACTGTCAACGACTTTCAACAAATCAAGTGCCTTCAGGCATTTAGTTTTAAGGGATTTAATATGTGGTAGAAACGTTAAATGTGAGTCTAAAGTAATACCCAAGAACTTGGCCTCGTTCACAACTTTGATGGGCGTGCCATTTAGAGATAGTTCAGGGTCTTTATGCGGTTTGTATTTACGGCAGAACTGTATACAATTAGTTTTGGATTTAGAAAATGTAGAGCCGTTTTCAAGACACCATTTAGTTATTTTGTTTAAACACAACTGCAGTTGCCGTTCAATAGTATGCATATTTCTACTACAACAAGTTTTATTAAAATCATTCACAAAAGGTAATCCATCAATTGAATCATTTGGAACCTTGGATAAACTGTTGATCTTGATACTAAACAATGTGACAGACAAAATACTGCCTTGCGGGACACCCTGATCCTGATTGTAATGGTCAGACAGGGTTGAACCCACTCGGACTTGAAATTGCCTGTCATTTAAAAAGTTGCATTTAAATTGAGGCAAACGGCCTCGTAATCAAAAGCCATGCAAATCTCTTAAAATCCCATGCTTCCATATCGTGTCGTATGCTTTTCCTTAATCGAAATAGATAGACACTGCATGTTGTTTATTATTTATGGCATTCTTAACAAAATATTCTAAACGCACTAAATGATCCATAATACCTCTGTTTTTACGGAAACCACATTGTATATCTGTTATTGGGTTATTGGTTTCCAAGTACCAAATAAGTCGATTATTTATCATGCGTTCCATGGTCTTGCAAACGCAGTTGTTAGTGAAATTGGCCTATAATTGGAAGGATCAATATAGATACGTCCAGGTTTAGGGATGGGAACAATTATAGCATCACGCCACGAGGAAGGAAAGTTTCCATATGTCCAAATATCATGAAAAATATGTAAGAGCGTCTCTAAACATGATTCTTGTAATCTCATGTATCGAAAATGTTTCGTAGTAATCTTCCCCATTATCTGAATTGAAATTAATAGCTTTCTTTTCTTGCTTTTGTTTATATTTTTGGAATTCAGGTACATAATTAGATGAGGAATGTTTGGCCAATGTCTCAGCAATATTTGATTTATTAGTCAATACTTGGTTCCCATCTTTCAGATGGGGAATAGGTAGCAAAAGTAATGTAAGTCCCCATGGTTCCTAGTATGGTGATCTACCTTCAGTTGTTGGCGATCTATAGCCCGTTTTTATATTGTATTGTCTTCGTAAATAAAATAGTTTTACATGTTCATGCTAGTTTTAGACTCCATCTGTGATACTCTAGTTATTTTACAGCCCTTCGATGACTGATTATAAAGCACCTTTAATTAATTGATTATGTTACAAATTTCTCGTCACTATATGGCTGAAATATTGCCGAGGTGACGTTAAATATTAACTCACTCACTCAGATGGTGAATACTAGATTTCGAGCCCTTACCCTTGATTTTCTGGATCATATTCCACACCTTTGTGTGCGCGAATAAACTTTTGATACGTGGTTTCGCCAAGAGTGGCGTTTACTTTGCTTGAAAGTACGTCGTGCTTTAGCGTTTAAAATTTAAAATTTATCTAACTTGTGGACCATAGGATGGCGACGGAAATAATGCTCGGCTTTCTTCCGTGCCTTCCTAGCATGTTTGCAATCAGCGTTAAACCATGGTTTTCGTACGTGTGGAATTGCAGAGGACTTCGGGATACACACGTCAGCCATGTTATTTAGTTTATCTGAAAAACAGTTTATGGCATCAGGAATATCATTAAAAAGTTCATGTTGTACTTTTTCAGCAGAGAGAGTTTCATATAAAGGCCAGTTAGCCTTTTTTAAAATTCCATCTCGATGATGGAGGAACATCAGACGGTTTCACGGGTTTTAATATTGTTGTGGAAATGGTCACTTCCACAGATATCGTCGTGGACTGATCCAATAGGTTGGAGTCTGTAATAGATATTTTCCACAATGAAGGTACAAGAAAAGATGAACTCAACTTGAAACAGATACGTGTCAGCATAGAGCACCTTTCCACCCTAGTATTAATTCACTTACCTGTAAACATATAAGTCCCATACAAGGTGGACCCCACCCACGATGTCTTGAACACACCTTCCTTCATCGTCTCCAGTAGGCCTATGGTGACCACGGCTGGTGAATAGTAAACGATGCCACAGATGACCAGTTGTAGCCAACTGCTGACCAGGACCACCCACGCATACCCTCTGTCTGTGTTCTTGTGTAGGGCCATTTCCAGCAACACCAGTTAGTGGCACATCTACAAAGCACATCGATCAAAATGCCACACCGGTACATATAATTGCGTTTTTTCTGCAATATATATTGATTATTGAGCTGTACCAGTATTATCCAACATAACACTGTTACACTCAGTAACAACAAAACACATTCAAGATCAATATTGGGACACGCTGCTTCATGTGCACGGCAGCTCGGCGACACATGGCAGATTTATTCCGTTTTACAAAATCCTCATATAACCACATTCCAGCAAAAATCAGCACTTACAAAAAGATAAGTACATTACGCAACATGCAATACGACATCATGTTCAGTAGAACTAGCCCGCCACATAAACCAGAGATAACAACTCATACGTGAGAAAAAACTCTGGAACTGTGCCTTCCCGACGAATGCTAAAGTTCTTACTAGGACGTTTATAGTATACTGTCCCCAAAAAGAAACGCATCATGAAAATAGCAATTTCATGTAGCAATGAATTAAAACGTGATTCATTTTACAAATGGTTTTGCTCTATTTATGAGTCCTATGGTGTTTATGTTTTGAAACATCACAACAAAACGCACCATCCGTAAAATACCCGTATTTAACAGCATGATTTTCAATTTCGGCGTGAAGTGTCACAGAATACACAATTCACATGCAATGCACGTGAAAGTTGGGGATCAGAAAGTCTCAATGATAGGTAGAAAAGGTTGATCGCTGTCTGTGGATTATGCACTGTATTTGGAATATTGTTGACGAACGCAAAATGCCACGTCTAAGTGAAGCCAACCGTCACATCGCCATTGGTTTGCTTGAAGCTGGCCAGTCTCAACGTGCAGTTGCCCGACGCATGAATGATCACCAAAGCACAATTTCACGGCTCTGGGAGAGATATCGCCGGCAGGATGCGGTAGCAGATGCCCCTGGTAGTGGGCGAGGATTGAGGAGGCATTCTGCACAGACCGTCAGGAACTGGTTGAGAGAGGCTGGTTTACGTGCCAGATCTTATTTTGGCCCTGTGCTTCGACAACAACATCGTCGACATCGAGTTCAATGGTGCACCAACGTTCAGGCCTGGAACCTAATGAATTGGCCTAGAATCTGGTTCAGTGATGAATCACGATTTCTATTGGAACGACGCGATGGAAGAATGCAGGTGTACAGACGTCGACGTGAACATTTTGCCGACGCTTGCGTTCCCCAGGTGGACAGATTCGGCCGGGGCAATGTTATGATGTGGGGAGCGATCACTTGCCGTAGGAGAAGTGATTTGGTGATGATCCAGGGCAACCTGACAGCTCAACGCTACTGTGACGAAATCCTACGCCCACTCCTCCTTCCAAGCATTGATCGCCAGAGGGAGTTGTTTCAACAGGACAATGCCAGGCCCCATTCAGCACGTCACACTAGAGTCTTCCTCCAGAACCACAACATCAATGTGCTCCCCTGGCCCTCAAGATCACTGGACTTAAACCCGATCGAACATCTGTGGGATGCCCTGGACAGACGGGTGCGACGCCGCAACCCTCAGCCCCAGACACTTAAGCAACTCGCACAGGCACTACAGGCAGAGTGGGCTGCGATTGGGCAACACGAGATTCTTCGACTTATTCGTTCGATGCCGAGGCGACGCCCTGCAGTTCTGGATGCCCACGGTGGTCACACGAGGTATTGACTTCAGCGCCACCACACGTCTCCATGTGACACTCAAACTGACTTTCCTCGAGTTGGTGCCAAAGACGGATAAGTCTGTATTCCCAGTGTGCAATTTCGCTATATTTCAATGACTCATAAAGCCTGCAAGATGTTTCAAATTAAACATAAAAATACAGTTGAAATCCCTAGGTGCGTTTCTTTTTTGGGAAAGTATATTTACAACATGATGCAAAAAGAAACAAACATTGTCTCACCACAGGACAACAAAGTCATATCAGTATTCTCAAGGCTCTGCAGCCTAGTTTGCAAAACATTGCTGTTCATTATATACTAACAATTATAATACATTCAGTGTATAACAGGATATCATATAGGCTTCGCAGCCTGGCATGTGAATCAAACAAAGTCACAACACATCAGTGTTATAAAGGCTCTGCAACCTAACCATACACGGTACAATACATGAGCAAATCAGCTCTACTTACCAGACTGTGTTTACTACCCATAAAGACAACAGGAATTACACCTTTTACAAAATTCATCGAGTGCACGTGACTCCAGACAGCAAACAATGCTCACAAGCACCACACTGTGCTTAATTCACAACCATCACGGTCAAATACAACCAACACCTGTAACACCAAAACAAAATATGAGATATTATGCATATGAAATGATATATATATGAAAATAAAGGAAATAAATGTTAAATGATGTGAACACTGCCGTGTCTAGAACGACAGAGACGATATTTGAAATTCCCTCTTCATTTATACCAAAATTACCTCCCTTGGTAGATTCGCATACCACCAAGGAGAAAATAGTTTCTATCTAATTCAATTCATTCAACCGAAAGAAACAATAGTTCTCCGTCCCAACAGAGCTCATTCCAAATAGAAACACGCGACATATATAGAGATTAAAGAAAGTCAAAGGCCTAAGGAAAGTGAAACGTTTAAACGTTTTTGGAGTTCATCTTTGATGTAGCCATCTTTGGCATTTTCACTCCTCAGTCTACCCTGTCTTTTAAACATTCTGTCCGGAACACCATTATTCGCTGCTGCCGAAGCCCCTCCACTGCGTAGGGTATGTAAGCCATACACTTTAATATTGGAAACAAATGATTCAAGCGCCTCCTTGAAAATCTCTCTCAGGCGACTATAGTCTGCTGGTAGACCCTCCAGTACAGGTTGTTGTTGCATAGGTTAAGGGAACACGGTTCCAGAGTTTTTCTTCAATGAAGTTTATCTCTGGTGTTACGTGTCGGGCTTCAGCAACGGACTTCAAAGTTTAACATGTATCGTACCTACTTTGGGTGAAATATTGTCAGTGCAGCATGAATTTGAATGTGACATGGAAATAAACTCGGCCGTGCACACTAGGCAGCGTGTCCCAATATTGCTCATGAATGTGTTTTGTTGTTACTGACTGTAACGGTGTTATGTTGGAGAAATTATATTTCCTACGTTTGAAAGAAGAATTAGTAGGAAATTTTTTTTACCTAGCGGTGTGTAACGCGAGTTACCTGCCCTGTGGGGTGGCGCTGTCAAGGGTATATAAGGGTTACTCAATTTGAATTGGTCATTCTCGCTGAAAGTACACCACGGCCACTGTATAATGGACGCTAATGCTAAACTTGACGACATCTTGCAACAACAAGAAGAGCTACAATCCTCTCTTGATAGTCAGATTGGCGCATTAAGAGATGAATTCGTACAAACTACACTTGATCTCAAGAAGTTGAAAGCTGAAAAAAGACTATGTCTGGTCTCTTGAGGGTAATAAAATCCAGCACAACATCAACGAAGATTCCATTACAGCCCTTTATAAGGTGCTCACTGCGTTGAGATCTTCACGTTTGGAAGACGCCGCGACGTTACTATCTGAATAGCTCGACAGGCTGAGGAGAAGAAATAAATATATTACGATAGCGGATTCTTCAGACGTTGGGGGTGGGTGGGTGGGTGGGGTGGGGGTGGACCCGTCCGGCAGTACGTCAGCAATGAGTTGGCTGACGATTCTGACGATGACAAGAAAATCATGCGAGCAGACAATAAAGCTGTCAAGAAACTCAGACAAAAGCTAGGCAAGCTCCTTACTGGGCAGTAGGCCTTTACGGAGATCATCTATATAAGTGGAATTACCCTACTGAGTGGCAATACCTTACTTAATGGTACTACGTTACTGAGTGGAAATACCCTACTGAGCGGCAATACCTTACTTAATGGTACTACGTTACTAAGTGGAAATACCCTACTGAGTGGCAATACCTTACTTAATGGTACTACGGTACTAATTGGAAATACCCTACTGAGTGGCAATACCTTACTTAATGGTACTACGTTACTAAGTGGAAATACCCTACTGAGTGGCAATACCTTACTTAATGGTACTACGTTACTGATTGGAAAAACGTTACTGAGTGGCAATACCTTACTTAATTGTACTACGTTACTGAGTGGAAATACCCTACTGAGTGGCAATACCTTACTTAATGGTACTACGTTACTAAAAGGAAATACCCTACTGAGTGGCAATACCTTACTTAATGGTACTACGGTACTAAGTGGAAATACCCTACTGAGTGGCAATACCTTACTTAATGGTACTACGTTACTGAGTGGAAATACCCTACTGAGTGGCAATACCTTACTTAATGGTACTACGTTACTGAGTGGCAATACCTTACTTAATTGTACTACGTTACTGAGTGGAAATACCCTACTGAGTGGCAATACCTTACTTAATGGTACTACGTTACTGAGTGGAAATACCCTACTGAGTGACAATACCTTACTTAATGGTACTACGGTACTAAGTGGAAATACCCTACTGAGTGACAATACCTTACTTAATGGTACTACGTTACTGAGTGGAAATACCCTACTGAGTGGCAATACCTTACTTAATGGTACTACGTTACTAAGTGGAAATACCCTACTGAGTGGCAATACCTTACTTAATGGTACTACGTTACTAAGTGGAAATACCCTACTGAGTGGCAATACTATACTTAATGGAACTACGTTACTAAGTGGAAATACCCTACTGAGTGGCAATACCTTACTTAATGGTACTACGTTACTGAGTGGAAAAACGTTACTGAGTGGCAATACCTTACTTAATTGTACTACGTTACTGAGTGGAAATACCCTACTGAGTGGCAATACCTTACTTAATGGTACTACGTTACTAAGTGGAAATACCCTACTGAGCGGCAATACCTTACTTAATGGTACTACGGTACTAAGTGGAAATACCCTACTGAGTGGCAATACCTTACTTAATGGTACTACGTTACTAAGTGGAAATACCCTACTGAGTGGCAATACCTTACTTAATGGTACT